TTATAGTGAAGTCCAATGCATGTTATGGTATGAATGGCACAATTGAGGTCACTTTCATAGCGATCATCAAAACAACTTCCCTATAAGAAGCTGTTCCCATAATTTACTAAACAATCATCCCTTCAAACAACATATATTTTGGCGTTAAAATCACTGTTTGATTGACATAAACATGAAAATGGTTTTTAATCAAAGTTGACGTTAAAATAATCGATTTTAGTCTTTCACTTCTTATTCCTTTGAATTGAGTAAAAATTAATTCTCAATTTCATGGTTTCAATTGATTTTTTGAATTAAAAATTGAAACTCACATTAAAAACATATACAGAATAAACAGCTATACAGCATATTCTGAGAATTTCTGAGCTCAAAATGACTAAGTCATTAATACATTGAATTATATAATATAAAAATATTATTGTAACAAATAATTTGAATATAAGTGAACATTTACCGGCACTTGTGAGAAGTCTTAGAAACTAACTTTCATTAAAAAAGTCTACATTTTTAATATTAATATTTTGTTGTATAAAATTGTTAATAGACTGAATTAATAAGATTCAGAATAATCTATTATAAGTAATAAATAGTATGCTATGAATAAACAGCAATACAAGTAGTATTCAAAAGACACAAATCACACACAAAAATAATCATTTCATCGTTTTGTTAGTTACAAAAGAATTAATCTTTATTTCTAAAGGAATTATTTTTCATATTTTTATCCATTGTTTTTAAAGTTAAATATTAAAACAAAAAACACAACTCTATTGATATGTGGAATAAAAATATAATGAAACAAAAAAAATTATTGATTATTTTTTCAAGTTATAAATTGCAAAACCAGTGAAAAGCAAAATAAATTGCCATAAATTCTATACATAATAATGTGTTGAAATTTGGGAACCAATTAAGCAATTATACAACATTAGGAATGAACACAATACGGGCACTACATTATTGTCACATATATTATATGTTATTATTTTTGCAATTTTACACCAAATTTTCAACAGAAAACTTATTATTATATTTATATAATTTTAAAAATAATTCAAACAATCGATAGTTTTCAAAGAAATTTGTAATTATAAGTGAAAAATACATTGAATTTGGTGTTGGGATACAAGCCTAATATTGAATTAACCAAATAATTAATTGTATGTGTGTTTCCATACGTTTAACGATTAAAATATATTTAAGACATTTCTCGTTATCATTATAATTATTAATAATATTTAAGTGTTAATAAAAATTTTAACAAAAACATAATAATTCAAATAAAAACATGTTTTTTGTTTCATTTGTTTTTATTATTATAATTAAGTTTGTTTTCGTCAAAAACTACACATCTATGGCACAAATGATTAGTAAAAGAATTATACAATTATAATAATAATATATAATTAATATTATTTTTAACTTTTTGTTTTTAAAGATTGAAAACAGAAGTATATTTTTGAGAATAAATTTTACGCTAACATTAATGTGAAGTTAAGAATATTCTGTATTCTGTGTTCTTTCAAAAGCTGACAAAAAGGGTATAATTTTTAATAGAGTTTCGCTGTTTAACTCAAATCAATCACAATTACTACTGCTTTTAGTTTATGGTTTTGTCATAAGAATTGAATTTAAAGTTAATATTATATACAATGATATAATAGCGGGGAATGTAAGTAATGTCAGGTATTTTTAATGGTTTTTCTATTCTAATCACAAGATAGAGAAGACTGTGATTTATATATTGTTTGCCCCGAAATGTGCAAATAATTTATATATTTAGAGTGTATTTTTTGAAAAGTAAAATCTAAAACAAACAAACAAACAGTTAATATGAATTGAATTAAAACTCATGAAAACCAGGCACTGCTCTTCACATTAAATGTTATGTTAATATATATTTTTGTTTTTTCATATTTCATATATGAATTGTTTTTCTGGAAACTTTTTTTTTAATTGTATGCTTTGATTATAGCGTTAAAACAAATAATAGTGTGTTTCAAGAGTTTGACAGCGATTTCTGAATTCTTAACACTTTATTGTTTGATGTTTTTTGTGTGTCTGTTGTGTGTGTTTTTGAGTGACAAAAGAGTCTTTGAAATGAGTGTATATTTTTGAATCGATGACCGCATTTCACAGTCAATACTGAATCCGTGTCTTATTTACGCAAAATAAGTCGAGTTAAGTGTTTTTCCAAGACATCAAATACAGTATAATATAACACACGTATAGCACAAGGATTTGCAGTTAATATTGACATTTCACAGTCAATACTGAATCCGTGTCTTATTTACGCAAAATAAGTCGAGTTAAGTGTTTTTCCAAGACATCAAATACAGTATAATATAACACACGTATAGCACAAGGATTTGCAGTTAATATTGTGTTTCCTATTTATAGCTATAATTAATGGTAAAGAATTCGCAGAGAATTCTTGTATTGTTTTATAAATATATAATCGGATATTAATTGTGATTACAATTCAACACTTTTATCACTTCATTATACGTACACTTCATTATAGAAATTTTGATTTTTAAGAAATTAATCATTAATTACATAATTAGTATACAATTAGAGGAATGTTTAGATTTTTATGTTTTTAATTCTAATTATGATATCATTATGTGTTTGAAATATAGAGCAATGAATAAAATACAATCAAATTATTACTCAATTTTTTATGTATTTTTTGTATTTTTTTTAATTATCCATTTTATGTAATATTTAGTTATTTTTAATGTCATTTTTCTTATGCAAAGATAACACAAATTCGTAGATTAATTGCGAGAAGGGATAGAAGAATAGCGTATACTATAAGATCATATCTATTGTATACTCAAAACAAAAAAAAACAACAGAAAAATCTATAATAAATGTTCACATAATATAAACGGAAGGAAATTAGAAAATTATTTAATATATTATATTAAAATAGCAGTAAAATATATAAAAAGAATAAAATTAAAATAACAACAAAAAATTAAATGTAAAACAAATTAATAATAATTGTGTAAAATTAGAAATTTGTTAAATAAGTAGAGGAATATGTAATATAATTGTAAATATAATGACAAAATGGCATTTGAATAGGACTTTGTTATATATATGGTATATATAGAGGATGTGCTGGTGATGACCATAAGCTGCTCATTGCTGCTGCTCTTTGAGAACTTTTGACTGAGAGGTAAATTAAGTTTATTTATTATTATTATTACTTATTTACTTATAGATATGACATAAGCTTTGATTTCAAACTTAATAATCCATTCAATGATAATAATAATATATGAGAGAGAAGTTATTTGTCGGGAGCGGAGAGAGCCGTGTATTGTGTCTCATAAAAATCGATCACTTTTTAAACGTACAAAATATGTTATGCTTTTTATTGCCGACAAAACAACTTCTCTCTCTTCATATTAGTATTATCTGAAGAGGAGTTGGGCTCATGTTTTTCAGACTAAATATAATTTCTTATTTTACTCATTATTCTCTCATTAATTCATAAAATCATAAATAGTGTTTCGAAAGTCATGTTAAGTCATGGCATTAAATATGAAAATTAAAAAGTTTTTTAAAACAAGGGATTTGCAGATATTTTCTATAGTAAAACGGTTTTGTGTAATAATCCGTAACTACTAATTAGTTATTGCATTTGACTAAACGGTTTATAAGCAAATGTTTGCAATCAGAGTGTCATTAGTTTTGTTAATATTAATATTAATCTTAGTTTTGAAGTTTTTTCATTAAAATTAATTCTTTTTCAAAATATCTAAACATAATATCACTTATAGTTTTTGATATCAACTCTAGACCTGTGGTTGTGAGGCCTCAAAATACTTATACGTCGGGTTCTCGTAGCCGTTGATCTGCATGTTTGCCACATGCCGTTCCTCCGGTGTCACCGCCTGATCCACTTCGACAAAGCCTTGACTGTGAGGCGACCGTTGGGTGTGTTTTTTCAGCAAAACTATACCCACTATTGTGGCCGTCAGTAATGCTATGCCAGCGAAGGCTAGGGTTATGTAAACACTTCCGTTCCATCGGAGTCTTTGATGGTAAGGCTCTCGGCGTATGGAATAGGACTGCAATTATAGCAAATCACAAACAATTCAATTAATATCACACGGAATCACACAATCAAATGACAATTCACTGTAATATCACTCACAGCCTCGTTGTGATGAAATGCCTGACTTTGTATATACGACTGCTTAGGTGTCGGCACCATATCGTGCACTTCATTGGTCTCCTCGTCCTCATGAGGTATAGAACGCATTGGCGTTGAGCTGACGGGAGTGGGAGTCGGCTCCAGGACTGCACCGCCAGACTGTCGGTTCTGGTCGTCTTCATTGGAAGTGCGCTCGTCTTCCATCGACTCGGGATCGAACTCTTGTTCCAGTTTTCCGCTCTTCTGATTCGCCTCAACCCTTCTCTTCTCGTCCTGTAGTTCTTTGAGCTCTTGTTTCCTCTGCTCTTCGACCATCTTCTGGCGCTCGCGTTCCTGTTGTTTCTGTGCCACCTCTTCCTCATACCTGTCCATTATAGCCAACTCTGACTCCTTTGATATCTTCTCATCGAAAGGAATTCCTCTTAAGTTATGCCAAAAGGCAACCATTCGTCGCTTAATTTTGTCGGCAATGTTGGGAACCCTATCGAGCATTTGAATGGATTGGTTGGCCATTCGGATCAAGTCATCCAAATGGTCTAACATCGCGTCCTTGTCTTTCAGCGCTTGTTTAGTGTATGAATTGAGAAGATGTCTGAAGTGGTGAAGAGTATGAGTCCTATCCTTCTCCAAAGAGCGCAAGAGTTTCTCCAAACACTTCTCAATGCGTTTGGTTTTGGGAGGGCTTTGATCTAAACTCTGCGTAAAGCAATCCATTGCAGACTTTTTGCGTAAATTAATTATCGTCATCACTCTTTGCTGATGCATTGAAATCAATTGTCTCTTCTCAGCGGAACCCTCCTCTTCCAGCGCCTCCACAGTCTTCTGGAAGCGTCCGGTCATCTTCTTCTTAAAGTCTTCGGCGCCTTTCGGGTCTTTAATTCGCATTTCTTGGTAATGCTCTTCGAGTTCACTCCACTCTTTCATAACCTGATGACCAAAAAATGGTATAAATTTAACATAAAAAAGACATTTCGATAACAAAAGAGTTGTTATAATGATTGTATAAAAGAGAATAAAATAATAAACCAAACGATACACAGGTTTTCATACAATTGATATACAGTTATCTCATTGTTTAATGGATGGAAGTGTTAAATCGATACTAACTTTAGTGACTTTTTGGCGATGATTGTCCTCCAAAGACTTTTGCGCCGATTTGAAGGAATCGTGTTCTTTCTGCGAATCAAAATGACTTAAATAGAAATCGACGGGTCTTTCAGTAGTGGTGGTCGTAGTTGTAGTGGTAGTAGTGGTTGAGCTGCTCTTCTGGTCGTCGTCATCATCATAATCGTCGTCATAATAGTCGTCGTCGTCTTCGTCGCTGCTGTCGTCGTCATCGGAATCGATGTTATCATTAATCTTGCGTTTGTTGTCATCGATTAAGTTGTCCTTAACATCTGTTCCGGTGTTTGCGTGCAATCGACGGGTGTTATCGGCGTTTTGCTTGGGATTCGGACAGCAGACAAACTCGACGCCGGAGAAGATGCCGACACCGCAGGGCAATAGCATCGCAAAGCTCTGCAATTTCATCGTCCGTTTGTCACAACTGGTGGTCGCCGTTCTGTTCCAGTACTCAGAGCTCTGACAGACGCTCTGGTTATGGATGTGATCGAAGAGACAGTGTTCGGGCACTAATAGGGCGTCGCTTTGAAACGGACCCTCTAAGCAACGGTAGGGCTTCAGCCAGTGCTTCGCCCGACACTTCTTCTGCCCTAATTTACACCAATTATTTATTTTGTAGTATTTATTTGATTCCACGATATTTCTCACGTCTTCTTTCGGATAGACCTAACAATCCGATGAAAAATAAAATGTTTATTACAACAAAAATGTCTCTCATTTGCCATTATTTTAATTCATTATAACAGCAAAAAACAAAAAGTCTGGTAATGAGTGGTACTATCAGTGATCACTTATAGCCCTTAACATCGTTGCCATAAGAATGGTATGAATAGAGCTCTTTATTGGCCTCTTTGGTCATATCGACTCTCAATAGCCGTGAAGTATAGAGTTATGTCTTTCGGGAATACATTTGGAAATACAGTGAATGAAAATAAGGAAAACTAAACTAAACGAGGGTTTATTCCGATTACATACGGATTGACCAAAATTTATTGTATTCAATGAATCAAAGATCGGTTTATCCATAAAAGTAAAAGATAAACACAACACTATATCTTCATATTAGCAATTCATGCCTTATATCGATATTTCTTTTATACATCTTATGGAATAAATATATAAATAAATATTTCTGAGATTTATATTAAAAGATATGCATTGATTGTCAAGACTAGTGCCATAACTTGAGTTTTCATTTAATTGAATTCATTAATATTAATATATAATATGCAAAATCACACAAAATATATGTAAAAAGAGTGTAATCATTAATCAAAAGTAATGAATTATTGACTTTAAATTAAATTTAATATACCATTCAGTAAAGAAACATGTATTTTCTTAGACGTTGTCTAAATAGTGACAACAGATGTGAAGTTTAAACTAATTTTTTAAAAAAGGGAAAAACATAATTCAATTTCTAAACGAAAAATGTCTGATTTGTTACATAACTAGGAATAACAGTGAGGGGTAACTATAGCCACAAAATTCATTAAAATAATGTTTTTTCTTGTTGTCAGAACTCATGGAAATAATTATCTCATCATTTACTGGGAATCCGTTAGACATGATGTAAGAGTGACTCAAACAAAGTCAAAGGATTTGCAATAAATCTCTACATTTTCTTAATCGATAAACGGCTCGAATATTGAACAGAAAAAAAAAAGTTAAACACATTTTCATGAATTTTTGTATAGTTTTTTGTTTGGCGTGAAAGACATAAATAGCGAGTACTATGTATTTAAATGCCTACAAATTCTTATTTATTTGACAAAATTGTAATTATTTTTAGTGTAAACTGTATTTATTTGTGGACTAAATGTCATTAAAATCAAAGGCCATACATTAAAGAGCCCTAACTCTGAGGCCTTTCCAACTCTAACCCAAAACACCCCCAGTAGTAGTCAAGCATATTGTGATTGACTTATATATTCCCGTAAAGTAAAGAGAAATATAAGCAAAATATTATATGACTCCAAGAATCGAAGTTTTATTCTGAATACTATTCATGACATTAGATGTAATCCTGCATTCATGATAAGCCTCTGGCCATATGAATGCTATGCATATATTCAATCATTTATTAGATCTTAAGGAAGTTTTCCAAAACATTGCAAACTTTTCGTAACTAAAGATATTATATATTTGAAATAAAAGCAAAACAATACATGGTATAAACTCCAGCGAGAAATTGCAAGAATATATTAAACAGAATATCAAAATGGATTTCAAACACACATTTGAATTCATTTGAGCAAAAGATATATACAAAAAGCGAACAAAATTATTGACTGGTTTTATACTAATCGCATACGAGATTGTCTGTCGAGTACATGCACTAAACATATCGTATAACTCATTAATTATCTCTAAAAACATACGAAACGCGAATGCAATGATTGTTACGCTATTATAACAGATATGAGAATAATATTGAACACAATTGGGAGACAAGAACTGAATGTGAGAGAGAAATAGAGAAAAGAATTAATTTGAAAGCAATTCTCTTATTATTCATTGTATTCATTGTACATCTGTTTGGAAAGTGGAGCCAAACGTCCACTTATTCTCCAAACGAATGGCTTTTTATCGATTGATTTCACTTTTGCTGTTTCACTCATTTTTGGTCATAAAAGGACAAAATATGTGGCATTTCTTTAAGAATTCTTCACTCATATACTGCTTAATGAGATGCTATCGTCCAAAGTATTGTTGTTTAACTATTATATTCTTCGTTCAATATATCATTAAAAATGTTTAATTGCATAAAACAATACTAACAATAATATTAGCAGAATTTATTGTCACAAATGACTGATCAATGGATTAATTCATTAATAAATAAACATAAAACGTAAATGAGTTTACATTTGGAAACCAATTCTGTGTTCATTAATACAAATAATTCAAAAGTTCTGTTAATTTATTAACAACTGATTTAGACGTCAAATATTTTATTTATAATAAATAAAATCCATTCTCTTCGTAACAAAAGCGAGAAAACTATCTATAAATTTGATATTTCTCTAAATTATCGGTTTGACTGTTATTTGAATCAAACAATTTGTGAGCCCTTTAATGGTCTGAAAATTGAATATCTGTGAAGAATTGATGTGCAGAATAACAGACATTAATATTCATAAATGATTATTAAATTTAAATAAAAGGGAGACTCTATGTATGGAAAGTGTATATAAATATACATATATGACTGATACAGTCGTTGGCTTGTCAGGTATTCATTTAAAGTCTGTAAAATCAATACATAAATACATTGCTATGGTTTAGAAAATGAATTGATTGTGAACTCAAGAAAAAAGCATAATATGTTAGATATTGTTTTGTGTGTACTCTTCTTCTCCACATTTTAACGGTATATATACTGTAGTCATGTATTATAGGAGTCGACGCCCAGACTATGCATCGAAACACACCAATGCATTCACTGACGAGAGAATGGGATCAATATTTGCAGTTTGTGTACACTTTTTGCTGTATTTCCCATTGAAACCCAATGTAAGAGTCGGTAATGAATGTCGTAAAAGGTATATAAGTTGTGAGTAATATTATAAATAATATCCTATTATTACTACTTATAACCTATTATTGGACTAAAATTAATACAAATCCATAAGAATTTGTGTCTTTAGTTTCTACTCAAATATCATTTACATCTCAAGAATTACATTATTATGAGATTGTAATGGATTTCCCATACAATATATGATAAGAGTTTCTAATGTAATCCTTATCTATTAAGTAAGGAATTAATTACAATAATTATGATATTATGCATGAAATGTCCATTTAGTGCAAACAAACCGCTCATATTAAGCCTTAATTCAAGATCACTAATAAAATCTCGCCACACATTTGCATGAATACAGAATTAATAGTTATGTTTCAAAAATAAAAATTATTTACAAGAATATTCCTTATTTTCACACTTTGCGTTTAACCGTTAAAATTAATTTTCAATTAAAGCAACTTTTTCTTGTTATTATAATGAGAATCCAAAAATAAAACTTAAAGTTTAACATAAACTGCAACAACACATAAACACAATTTTGTTCATAAATCAATAATACTTGAAGTAATGGTAAGAATGGCATACCTTTCGACAGTATTCAAGGATCTCAAGTTTGTCTTGAGTACACGTAGCTTTCGGATCGGGATCTGAAATCCAACGCTTGTTTTCATCGAGGTATTGATTGTGATACTTCCCGTGTCCGCACAGTATGGCAACCATAGGTTGGAAATGACTCAGTCCTGTGTCTATGTTTGCCGCCAATGCCTGTTATAACGCAAAAAACATAGATTTAATTACATTTCTCTATGAAAATCATTTATTTAAAAGATGAGGTTTGGTTGACATTCATATGTATGAAACAAAACGTGTCGTAAATTATAATTACTCGCGAGTTAATTAACTTAAATGAATGAAAAAATTAATACAAATCTATTTTTGTAATGAGAGTTAAGTTATAAAAAGAAGAAAATTTTAGTTAAAAAGTTTTAAAATCTGAATATAATAATTGAGTTTAAGTCGAGAGAGAAAAATCGATGAAATAGTATTCGGAGCTGAAAATTGCAAATTAAACACAATTGCAATCAAATGAAAGTTTGGTTCAGAAGCGTTAGATAAGTTGAGACTCCGTTTATAATGCGTCCAAAACGGCGAATAAATCTAATTAAGTGTTAGCCTAAAGAAAATTTATAATTTTAAATGATGTTAACAATGAGATGAAGACACGATTTAAAACAATCCAATAAACGCCGAAATGAACGCAAACGGCAAACGAGAAAATACAGTGTAAGCGATGAAAATCGATTCAAAATAGAGTATGTTTTATATATACGGGCAAAATGTTGGGTATATTTAAGTGAATGTTTAATTGTCTTTTGCAATAATATATCAGAAGAAAAGGGAATCCAATTAAGCGAAAGGCATGAGAGGAAAGGCGATCACAATTACGCTGAACTACCGGTTGACTCGATTGCATACTTAAGGCACAGCAGTATTTACAGACCAGACAATTGCTGTGCCCATCAACGGCACCAACACATTACACAGCCATCAATGGCCCTAAAATGCATTGATCGCCACTTTCCCAGTCATCGCAACTACTTTTCTATAACCACTTTCTCCTTCTGTATTACAAATACATGAGTTTTTGTTAAGGACTGAGTACTGAGTCCTGATATTTGATTTAATTTTACAATTTTCTTTCTTCTCGTCGCCCAAAACCTTACAGTAAATGAAAATTTCGAGAATATAAGCGACGAAAAATATTTCGTTTGCTTTTCACTTCAAAACTGCTTTAAAACTTCTGTCAAACATATATTTTTCGCTTTTAAAATTTTTCTAAATATACTCTAATATTTGTATCCTATCTCTAGTTTTTGTGATCTTCTAACATATCGTAAGAGTCTTTTATTTGAAAGAAAACATAAAATCATAAAAATAAATGAAATTTTGTTTTCAGTTTTCAAAATTATGGCAATAAAAAAATAGAGAGAGAGAGAGAGAGAGAGAGAGAGAGAGAATCTATTCTTTTGAAAGTAAAATGAATGTTTTATATTTAACATATTATTTACAGTGATTTTCAAATAATTGCATTTCTTATATTCATATTTAGGTCTAAGTTTGAGAGCACACCTTAACTAATGTTTCCATAATTTAGCGCTCAGTTTGTCTTCTAAAAATCTCTCTCTCTCTCTCTCTCTC